ATAAAAGAATTATAAATTATTAATTATATAAACCTTTCATAGTGATTAGCAAACTTAATATCAAAATTCTTATCTGCTTTTGTTGAAAATGCTGTCCTGGACTCCAAATCCTCTTATTCGAACTTATATGCAAACAACTGGTAAGCCTCAACGTTGAAAAATATTTGGATAAATCGGCATTTCCAAAAAAGGCAATTGGCCCTCCTGAAGATGTATGTGGACTTTTAAAGTCTACAATTCAGCACGTGCGTAATGGCGACTTTCAACAAAGTCAGGCATCGGGAAAACTTGTAAGTCGTTGGCTAACTTTTGTCGAGTGATTACAATAGCCGATTCCAAGATTTAAATACCCTAAACCGAATGCATGCAACTTACTACGATAAACAAAATAGTGCCACTCAAATTGCCAACATCAAAATTAATTTAAATACACAATACTTGCAAGCCCTGGTCCAGTGGAATGAACGAAAGCTCCAAGAATCAAAGGTCCCCGGTTCAAATCCATCGAGGGACACGCATATTTTTCTACTTTTTAAAAACGAAAAGAAATTTATTTAACTTTGTAATGTAGAATCGTTGTAAGATCATACTTAGAACAGAGATTAATTGTTCATGTCCTGAGGATGGGTCATGACCTTGACAAGATCATATCAGTAAGTTGAGGGTAATTTAGTATACAAATGTAAAATTGATAACAAGCTTATAATCTTAGAAATACCAGTTCAGTTCACTCAAAGAATCTCGCATAGATTATTTTCTTTTCAAAATGGAAGGTACATTTGTATATATGGTCATATACGAGTATTAAAATTATCTCTTTATGAGAGAAAAATTCTCGAATGGAACGTGAAACAACAAATCACAATGGAAATCCCAATGGACCTATTTATTTAAATCCCAACATAGTTTTCAATTTTGGACCTATTTATTTAAATCCCAACTTAGTCTACTATTTTGGTCAGGAAAACAAAGAAAAACACAAATGTAGGATTTGCAAATAATTGGTTTATTAAACATTGGAATAACAGAATTTTGAAAAGAGAGGACAACGGGGCTGTAGGACATCTCTAAATGGATGATTCATTTACAATTTAGAAGTTTTTGACGAGGAACCCCCATCCCTGATCCCTTACGGAATGGGTACTTATAAGGCCAAAGTTCCGAAAGACGTGAACATTTTGGAATATTTAAATTTTGTATCACAACGTTAGTCTTAGATCTATCTCCAAGGCCCCACATTGCGAAAAGAAAGATTCCACAGAGAATAAAAAAAATAAGTCAAAAATGGAAATACTAGATTTAAAAGCCAAACAATTACAGAGCAGATAAAGAGCTCGGGTGTCTCCTCTTGGTCTTAAAACTTTTCAATCACAAGTTTGAAAATATTCGTTACCATCAATTTATGGTTTATTAAAAGAATTCAGTCAGATCCAATTTGTTCGTCAGTGAAATTCACATATTTCTCGAGCCTCTCCATCTCCTTGTGGGCCACTTCAATCTCTTTCTGGATACGGGCTTCCTCTCTGTTCTGCTGTGCCCGCTCCTGCCTCTCGGCTTGTGCCTTTTCTTGAGCCTCTGTTAATTTTAAAATAAGATAAAGTACATTATAATATTGTGTTTTTTTAAACTAAAAACCCCAAGCCCAAGCCATATTGTGAAAAAACAATGTAAAAGAAAAACTCAAATAAAATAAATACATGTACACATATACTCTATCTACCTCTCCATTTTTCAAAATCCTCCTTTTTGTTTTCAATCAATCTGGCTGGAGGCATCTTTGGGGTTTCCTCTGAAACGAAGGTAAGATCAAAGGCCACACCGCCTTTCTTTTTTGTTACTTCCTCTGTAACCATTGTACGTCGTACTTTCTCGTACGCCTCCATCTCTTCCTTCATCACGCCCACTTTGTTATTTCTGGCAAGACAACTCTGAAAAAGACCCATGATCTTTTGACAGCGGCAATGGTTGTATCTAACAACAAAGGTCCTGATGAATGATTGTGACGTCACAATAAAGATAATTGTTTTTGACGTCATGATTTTACCTCTCCCTTTTCCATCTAGTATGCAACGAAAAAGAGCGGTGCCATCCGATTGTAAATCCATGACGTCAAAAACAAATAAAGGTATTGTGACGTCACAATCAATCGTTGTTAGATACAACCATTGCCGCTCTCAAAAGATCATGGGTCTTTTTCAGAGTTGTTTTGCCAGAAATAACAAAGTGGGCGTGATGAAGGAAGAGATGGATGCGTACGAGAAAGTACGACGTGCAATGGTTACAGAGGAAGTAACAAAAAAGAAAGGCGGTGTGGCCTTTGATCTTACCTTCGTTTCAGAGGAAACCCCAAAGATGGCTCCACCCAGATTGCTTGAGAACAACAAAAAGGAAGACTTTGAAAAATGGAGAGGTAGGTAGAATAGGTGTACATGTCAAACATTTATTTTATTTTTTTCCCATACACTATTTTTCGCTATATTCCTTGGGCTTGAGGTTTCCAGTCAAAATACTTTATTTTATTAATTAACAGAATCTAAGAAAAAAGCCCAGATCGAGAAGCAGGAGCGGGCACAGCAGAACAGAGAGGAAGCCCGTATCCAGAAAGAGATTGAAGTGGCTCACAAGGAGATGGAGAGGCTCGAGAAATATGTCAACATCATGGCTGAATAAATTGGATCTGAACTCTTTTCATAAATGGATAAATTTATGTTAATTATTATTTTGAAGCTTGTGATTGAAAAGTTTTGGGACCAAAGAGGGGACACCCGAGCTCTTTATCTGCTCTGTAATTGTTTGCTTTTAATTCTAGTATTTCAATTTTCGACTTATTTTTTTCCCTGTGGAATCTTTCTTTTCGCAATGTGGGGCCTTGGAGACAGAGCTAAGGCTAGCTTTGCGAAACAAAATTTAACCATACCAAAATGTTCACGTCTTTCGGAACTTTGGCTCTATAAATACTCATTCCGTCAGGAATCAGGAATGGGTATTACGTTGGAACACCCATCCCGTCAGTGATCAGGGATGGGGGTTCCTCGTCAAAAACTTCTAAATTGTAAATGAATCATCCGTTTAGAGATGTCCAAAAGCTCCGTTGTCCTCTCTTTTCAAAATTCTATTATTCCAATGATTAATAAATTGATTGCAAGTCCTGTATATTTGTGTTTTCTTTCTTTTTCCTTTTCGATGCTGGAACAGGATTCTGTTATTTTTAAAGAACGAATGTAATGAATGGGAATTAACATAATCATTTTTTATTGCTTATAAACTTTAAAGTATCTGTCAAAAATTGAGGTTTTTATAATTTAAAAATTCTGCAGCATTGAACTTTTAAACGCATGCATGATAATTTGATTGCTTATCGGTGATTAACATATTGAAAATATAATGAATATCGAAATCATTAAGTGAAAGAAAGAGAAAACAAAATGCGTTTGTGAAACACTGATGCCCTCGTATGGCATCATAGCGAAGGTTGAACTTTTTCAAATGCAAATCAAATATGTTGGTGCCCAAATTGAAAGTAAGGCCTTCTCACAAGAAATACAATTATGAAATATGAAAGTCGTAGCACCACCTGTTCAAAAGGTATTCCAAAGATAAAGTTTTTTTAAAAAAAGGTCAAACTCCTAGATCAAGGTCAAAGTTGTTTGTTTCTAAAGAAAGGTCTTGTCTCAAGGATTACACATTTGAAGTATGAAAACCCTAGCTTTAACAGTTCAAAAGGTATGACCAAGGTTAACGTTTTTTTTAAATTATGTCAAACTCCAAGGTCAAGGTGAAAGGGTCAAAGTTGTTGATAAAACCCTAGTAAAGGTCTTGTGACAAGGAATACATATGTGAAGTATGAAAGTCATAGCCTAAGTTATTCTGAAGTTTTTGGCAAGGTGGTTAAAGTTTTTGCTGACAGACAGAAGGACGGACACGGCAAAACCTACAAATATCCCCCCCCCCCCCCCGAAACTTCGTTTACCGGGGCATGAAAAAAATTAAGCTACAGGTAACTAAACATGAAACAAATGCAGGTAAATACACAACACTGAAAAAGGCTTTGACGAATCAAACAAAATATATTTACAATTTAAAAATACCAAAACGCATACTGAAAAAAAGGTGAAAAGAAATTATCGCACAAAATTTTGTAGCAGAGTCCCTGGCATCAATCTTTGAATTTGATTAGTTTCATTGTCCATTATTAATAATCTCACATTAATGGATTGGTATACAATTCAATTTTACAGAATTTAAACTTGAACTGAAAACATAGAGATGACAAACAGTATTCAAGCTTAAAAAGTCCATTCAAACAGTACAAATCAGAGGCAGAGCAAACACGGATCTCTAAAACATGAGAGATCGGATCAGTTGCCATCGAGGAGTGAGCATCCCATTCCAACCAGAGCAAGTACGTGCGTATCGAATCAACTGAGAGACATAACTCTCATATGCAAAGTGTGAAGAATATGTTGCTAAACAAGTAAGGAAAGTTAACGATTTAAATGTTGAAGTCATCACGTTTATCATAAAGCTATACACTTGGATTACTATAACGTTTTTTCTATAGTAGAATATGAAACGAAACAGATATATTTCCATTTCTTCTCTGTGATAACTCTTTAAAAGTTAGCGGAGTTGATTTCTTGATAATTTTACCGGAATGTAAATTAGGCAGGTCGATAGGTCAGGAGCAAAGGAGGCCTAATATGCATGCAAATTTCGTACGCATCTGTTTCTGTATCTGACGCTAAGGCGGCCGAATATGCATGTAAATCTCGTGCTACTGCCTTTGTGTTTGACGTCAGTGGGCGAGGACTATTGAAACTGGCATGGAAGTCCTCGTGTAATTTAAATATATGTCTACATTTTTAAAGTCTAAATCTACAATTCTATTTCGCAATGACATGGAAATATAAGGAATCACTGCCTAGTTCGTATAGTATGCCAGAGTCATCAACGATAGTGGGAAATATGGGATAAATTATGCATAACGGGCTTCGCCCATTATGCAAAGTATCCCATGTTTCCCACTATCGTTGATGCCCAGGCATACTATACTAACTAGACTATGATTTCTTAAGTGCCATACTCTGTGTGCTTTTATTTTAATCTCGCTGAGATGAATTGAGTCAACACATGAATGGGAGTAACTTTTGTCAATTGATAATACATCATTGATATACGGTGGTAATTATATGAAGGCCAAAGCATTTTTTTCATGTATACAATTCTGAATGAATCTTGCTCTATATAAATACAAAAATTGGTTTGCTGATAACGGGGCGTAATCGGTACCCATGGGAGGTCCGACATGCAGATTATTGGAAGGCTCGATCTCCAATCAGGTATTGTCAATCAGAAACCCAAGCATATCTTTAATATCATAACAGTGTACTTGTTGAGCAATCAGATACTAGTATTTTTAAATGTGCTCCCAAATTTCTACGAATTCTGGGATGTAAGACTGTAGTTTCGGGGTTGTGTGGTTAATGCAGTATTCAAACAAACATAGGTACACGTAACTGCAACAAAATGTAGCAGAGTTAAAACAAAATAACCAGCACGAACACGGGTTGCCATTCCACGCCGATACTCATGGCAATAAAGCAACCAGGTGTAACGAATGCAAAGAGCATTAACCCCGGTGCTGATATCGTAGATATTATCGAAAATGGCGAATGCCATTTACGATTCGTGTTCAGCTTTAAGCAAACACTTGTGTATGTATAAACATATCAATTTTTTGATTAAAAGAAAATACAGCAAGACATCTTTGTACCTGAATTTTTAATTTAGATTTACCCTACAACCACAACCCCTTCGTTACAATGAGCATGATAACCTTTGACGCCATGACAGACGGAATGTTCATCCAATCCACGCAGAGTCGTATAAAGATGACGTACATATGGGTCATAATGCGCATTCATCCATCGCGCACCACTCAGGGTCAACTGTTTGTCTGTTACGAATCTGTTTATCTCGAACGAACATCTACAACGAAAAGTGAACAACTTTCTACAACAATTTTTTGTACATAACTTTAATAAATCTTTAAAACAGCGACAAAAAGGCGCGGTTACAATGAAGAAAATAGAAAGGAGAGAAGACTGCAATCTTTACCTGCCTTGCCATGTTGTCAAAGACTTGTATATAAATCCATAACACTAAAGTTCTGCAGTTACTTTCTAACGGCCCTGAAAATTTGTCTACTCAAAAGTATAATACCTACCAGACAACAGGGAAAGTAAACCTTGACAGTGTTGTCGATAGCGAAAATAACTTACCTGCTCTGACAATTTTGTCCCACATAGCCACTGAGATTGCTGCCATCAACTGGAGACGCCTGCTTATATAGCAAGAAGTAGTAGGTGTGATTCTTGCCTGCTGAGGGCATCGGTCCTATATATGGCAGAACAATCTGTCCATTTTGAATGTTGCCGTCTGGGATATTGGTAACCATCCAGTGAACAACTGGTGCATGGCTAGCAGATACATCGGGATCAAGGCAAATAAGTGTGTAAGTGTCGGCTGCAAGCATTATGGTAATCATGATCAGAATGAAAAGGAAATTCTCTGTTTTAAAACTAAACTTTATATATCCATGCCCTTTCTCCGTAAATTTGCATTTTACTTATAGAACAATCTAAAAGTTTATAAAGAAAGATACAATTATATACATGTACATGAAATTTACTTTCTTACTAATTTTGGATTGCGCTAATACCCCGGCTTTTGTGAAACTGATAGACGGAACAGCCGCGGTGCGAACGTCAGCAGTATTTACATATGTGGTGGCTGTCGAATTCAAGGTGATTGTTTTCGCTCTAGAAATGGATTATAGAGAAAGGTAAGATATTATGAGAGAATATTGCTAATGAGAATTCTTCTACAAATGACACACAATTTATAATACTATTACAATCAGGGACTCGTTCTTGCAAAGAAGTTCAGAAACGTATAGGTTAAAGGTCGTGTCCATTGAACATGTGCAATCATGAAATATGAAAAGTATACATATATGCAAACATTCAACATTAGTCTGGAAGAAAATGACTAATATTTTACTAATGACGCAATAAAGTCTTACAGGTAACATAAAAGTATACGTTTCCTTAATAAAAATCAAGAAAATTGATTGAATTTCAAAACTCACGTTTGAGTATATGATGAACAGCAAGAATCAAAAGTTATGTCAGATGGATTGAAGGTAACAGACAAAGAGACGTTCAATTCCGTGGCCTTTGGAATAAATGGACGGTTGTGTTTCAGCAGTACTAAAAGTCATAGGTGAGATCTTTTTTTTAAAAAATAAATTTTCACAAGATGGTTGATAAATGGCTCAATGTAGTCTTTGTTAAAGATAAATCAATTTTGGCAAAAATAACGTCAAACTTCTTTATCACGAACTCAATAGACCCAAGAAAAAACGAGATATCCGTAGTTTCAATATTCCCAAATAACATCGGGATATCCATGGTATTTGATATATCGGTAATCGAAATTAAGGATATTTTTAAAAATTATTTTCGATTTGTTAAAATTATTCAATATCAAAAAAAAATTACCTTCCGTCTCAAAATATGGACATAAATCGGCAATGTGTAGATCCATTAAAGCCTGAATGGCATAGGGATCCCGTACCACATTTATCCAGTTCAAAGCAACTGGACCTGTCCAATATACATCAAAGCAAACTATCAATCTGAACATATATTGACAAGTATAGAATCAGCGATTTATTGAATTCTATGAAAGAAAGAAACGTATGCGTGAATAAACTCCATAAAAAACCTGTCAATCCAAGAGCAGTAACAACAGCCCCCAGGTCCGACGTTTGTTGTAGCGTTTGCTTTGTAGAATCTGAGATGGTGATAGCGTTAGATTGTTTATACACAATGAAAGCAAATGGATTAGGCTCCGTTTGTGGTGGGATCGGATGTAAATATGGTTTTATTGTCTAAAACAGATACATATTGTAGGTTCTTTATATATTTATATATTTAAGGACAGACGAGACGTTCCTTAATAATAGATAAATTTTTCTAAGAGTTTGTCATTGAAGTATTGCTACTTAAACATGTTTACTTACAAAAAATTGAATATTATACATTTCTAATATTATTTGATTTTCTTATATAATCCTTTGATGA